GACAATTTGCAGGCTTCTTTGATAGTTCCAGGGTTCTTAGACAGGGTGATCCCCTATCTCTACTACTATTTATATGTGTAATGGAGATCCTCACTTTGTTTTGTAAAAAGGCTGCTGAATTAGGTGAGTGGGAAGGTTTTGCAATTACTCCGGAGGGGGAGAAGGTTAACATTCTCCAATTTGCAGATGATACTCTATGTTTTGTGGATGCTTCTCCCTCCCAGGTGGACTTAATTCTTGGGATCTTATCTTGGTTTGAGGTGGTCTCTGGTCTTAAAGTCAATTGGAACAAAGTCAAATCATTCAAGTGGGTCAGGTATCCAACTTAGCTGATTGTGTGGAGATTTTGGCATGTAAGGTTGAGTCCCTCCCAGTTAAGTATTTGGGTCTTCTTTTGGGGGCGAGTTGTGGGCTATCTTCAATTTGGGACCCGATTATTGAAAGAATGGAGAGAAAATTGACATCTTGGCCGAGTGTTGCAACTTTTCTGGAGATTTGGTAATTTGGTCCCCTACCTTTAGAAGGAATCTTTTCGACTGGGAGCTGGAAGAGATAATGAACATGTTGACTCAGTTTTTCTGGAGATCCAGTTATTTGGCCCCCTACCTTTAGAAGGAATCTTTTCGACTGGGAGCTGAAAGAGATAATGAACATGTTGACTATTCTTCAGAATCAAGAGGCTGATTTCTGGTTGGAAGATAAGTGGAATTGGAAGTGGACTTTAGATGGTGTTTTCTCTGTCGAGTCTTTGGCTTCCAAACTTTGTAGAATGGGTGCCACTGATTTCCTTTGTCATCAGGTGTGGAATCCCATTAGCCCATCTAAATCCAACTTTCTAGTATGGACTATGGTTTTGAATAAATGTCTGTCTAGAGCTAATCTTGTGAGAAGGGGCATTCAGCTTTTGGACCTTTCGTGCAGTTTGTGTGGGAACAATTTTGAAACTACTGATCATTTGTGCATTCACTGCCCGTTTTCTTCTCAGCTGTGGAATTACTTCTTCAGCTCTATGAACTTAAGATGGGCTATGCCAAGTTCGGTAAAGGAACTTTTGTGTTGCTGGAATATCAATGGGCTTAACAAGAAAAGGAAGATAGTGTGGAAGACTATTCCTAGTGCTGTCTTATGGTCCATCTGGTCTGTGGAAGACTAGGAAGAAGTGGCTCTATCAGCTCCTATGTCTAGTGCTATTAGACTTGTTTGGACTCCACCAGATTTGGGTTTCATCAAATTGAACTTCGATGGTAGCAATGAAGGTAATCCAGGCCCTTCAGGCATAGGTGGTATTTTCAAGGATGAAGAAGGTCGAATTATTGCTATGTTCTCAGGATCTATAGGCTGGGGGGGATTCTCTGAGAGCTGAAATCCTGGCAGTTCTAGAAGGAGTAAAAAGAGCTAAGCGGTTGAATATTAGTAAGCTGTTGGTGGAAGGAGACTCTCAATTGACTGTTAGTTGGTTGTAGAAGGAAGAGTCTAGCCTGTGGAAGTTCTCAAATGAAAGAAAGAAAATCAAGCAGCTAACTCAGAATATGATTGTAAGGGTTCAATGGGCCAAGAGGAGCACTAATTCCATGGTTGACACCTTGGCTAAACAGGGGTGGGAAGATCTAGTTTCTTTTGGGCTATATTATAATAGGTGTTTTCAGTTCCGTAAGTGAGGGTTAAGATTTCTTACCCCTCCAATCTGGTTGTAATTTCCATATATTTTTAATAAAATTACTGTTATTGAATAAAAAAAATGTATAAAAAAATAGCTTGCTTTAGTTCATATTCCGTATTGTTCATGCTTTATTCTTACCCATTTGCCCACTTACCCATATTTGATGATCTATTTTGCATCACATAGGTGGTCACTCTTCACTAATGCATACAAGTGCAAGAAACGAAACATGAATGCTTTATTCTTAAAACACTATTGGTTCATACCCTTGAGCTTAAAGATTTGACTATATTGTTTTGTTCTAGCGTTTAAATTTTAGGGAAAAAACTACCATGTTAAGATTCTAACCATGCAAGGTTCAAAGTATTGATACAATATGTCATTGTATATTGGGGGTACTGATACCCATTTTTAAGGTATTTAAAAAAACTCTTTTTTAATAATTAAATAACATAAAACTAACCATGATTTTAATGCAAAATTTTGAAAAAAGAAATAAAAAAGATGTGCATGGTTCAAACAAGTCATATAAGATCTTAATTTTATGTTTTTCATGTCTTTATTGTTTACGCCTTGAGGCTTACGCCTCGCCCTTATGAGACCCAACCGCCTCGCCCCAGCCTTTATCCTTTTAAAACCTTGTCGAGAAGAGAGTGGAATCAATGTCGTGTCTAAGTTTTAATTACGAAAATAACAAAAAGAAAAACCAGAACTTACCTGAGAGATCGACTGTCGAGATAACACCGTTGATAGCAGAGCTCACCGTTGGAAGGGGGTAGAGGAAAAGGAGAGGTTATCTTTGGTGGGATTAGTTTAGATCGATCATTGTTATGTTCATTTAACAGAATTACCTTTGTGCCCCTGCTTTCACGTGTAAATGGGACATACGTGTCGTATTTTAAAGTTAATGTAGTGAGAATCGAACATACACAATCTCGATTCTTAGAAGTGAATTTTTCACTTCTCAGAATCTTGCTTTTGGAAGGATTTTTCTCATCCAAATTCGAATCAGAAACGATACAGTGCCATGTCCAAACATGGTTCTCATCCGGAGAATCGTAAGAATCGTGAGAATCGATTCTTCGGGTGGATGCCAAATGGGGCCTTAGTAGACTAACCTAAAGGATTAGGAACTGAATCTGAAACTGGCTGATTTTATAGGTACAAATTCCATTGATATAAATGGAATTCAAGCCATTAATGTCCATAAGCATTTTGGAACCCTTCATGGAACAGTGCTAGATATAGTCTGAAACTTAATTGAGTGTAAATAGCAGCATACGCATTCTTTTTCATCTTCTTGTTTGTCCTGAAAAAAGATGTGGTCTCATATCATTTTCCGCAAGATTAAAAGAAGCTGGAAGCTAAGATTGTATATAGCTTCATTTATGAAAAGAGTTTATACATAGTCTCACTATGGGTTTTCCAGTATCTCACACAGCTTAAATCTGCTTTTAGTAGTGAGCATGGATACTCAATTCAGCCTTAATCCCAACTATTTTGGGTTGTCTATACAAAACCTTTTCCACCACCATGCTCTATCAGAGCCATGTTTTTTTGTCAAATTATGTTTCCTTAAATCTTTTTACTACTAAATAAAATTTTCGTAAACAGACAAATACGAAAGAACTACAATCTGAGGCATCACCAAGATGAACCCAAGCAGAATTACACTCCACATTTCTCTTCTGCCAACTAAAAATGATTTAAGGACTTGAAATCATTTTTACTACAATCATGCTTTCTTTTGTTTTCCCGTTCTTTTAGAACGTTATACGGATTCATTTCTCACTAGTGCAATCATTGGTTGTTATGTACATGACCAAGCCATCTCAGTCAACTTTTACTCATCTTGTCACCATCTGGAGATACTCCCGAAGTCCTATGTAATTTACCGTGCTCAATTTTTATTCTGTCATTTCTAGTCTTGCTACTCATCCATCTCATCACTCTTGATTACTTAGCACTCTGTCTCATTTGTATATGCTGCTGGTCACACAGCACACTGGATGCAACTCTCTATTTCAAGCACCTTGCTCTAATCCATGGGCAACAAACTCGTTTCTCCCTTGTTATGAATGATTGACCCAAGGCGCCAGAACAGATATTAGTGATAATTTGTTAATTTTTCTTTTATTTCTAAATTGATAGTCCAACCTGAGCTACAAATATACGCATGGGGAAAGCTGTATCATTGACTTCCTCGTATTGTCTTGAAGTTCAGATTAAGATAGTTGATGCTATGTGTTGTTTTATATCAACAAGGGATTACAATATCAATGGTTTGATAATGGAAAAAATGTATTGAGTCAAAGAGGGATACATTACTGAGGGTAAAGGACCCCAAAGAGATTTCCTATAAGAGAAGAGAGAGGAGGGAAGAAAAATCAAAATATTCAAGTCTCAACCTTCCCTGGTTCTGTCAGCAACACCTAATCTTCACTTGTAAATCCTCAGTCACGAGCCAAAGAAATATCCAGTTAATATCACTTTATGTATGCATGGGATCTGAAGCTGTGTCATGAGTTTGTACTAGTTGTCTTATATAGGTGGTTATCATTATTTCCCAGTGTACGGACAGAAAGTTATTTTCTTCCGTGAAGTCTTGTGATTTTCTAAATGACAACCATGCTGTAAAATATCAGAGGGAAAAACAATCACTTTCTTTTCTTTCTGGTTTGCTTGCTGGTTAAATGAAATAGCAATATGAGTGGCATGAAGGAGGTGAATATTGTTTGCTCATAAAAACAGGAGGTGAATATTGTTTTTTTATTCAATAACACATTTCATTAACTAATCACAGAAATAATTACAAAGGGGAAGATAAACTATCTTATCTTCCATCTGAAGCTTGAGCCCCCCCAAGAACAGAAAAAGAATAAAGTTGCACCTGTGCCCAAAACATTGACTCCCTCTCCACCCCTTGTTTAGCTAACCCATCAGCAAAAGAGCTGATCTTTTCACCCAGCTGATCTTGACTTCCATCTCTTGAACCAGCCACCTAAATTTCCTCCTCTCATTGCTGTAATTCCATAACCGACTGTTGTCTTTATTCAGCCACCCTACCACCACCTTCGAGTCCCCTTCAATTATGAGTTTTCTTATATTGTTAAGGCATGCCTTAGGGCTTTCTGTGTTTAATTATCTCAAAAATCTGGTAGTTTTGGGCTAAAAGCATCCAAGAACTTCCTTTTCCAGTTACTTCATCTAGTTCATACTCCAAAAGAAAGTGAACCATATAAAAATTATTAGGTTGCAGTATTGACATCAAAGGATTAACTACTTCCAGATATGATTTCATGAATTGCCATACCTGTTAATGCTGGTGGGGTCTATGCAGGGGACCTTAAGAGATCTTTCGAAGACTTCAGCTATTGTACCGCATGACCCTGCTGTGAACCCAATTGAACAGGCACGTCATAATGGAAAGTGAAATCAAATCTTGGCATTAGCTTTTTCCTTTTCCGGTATTAATAGATTTCTGTTCACAGGTTGAAGCTATTGAATATGTTGGAGCCACTCCAGGTGATGCACCAACAGAGGTTGTCACTTCCTCTAATGGAGATAACTCAGCTGTGACAGCTGAACAGTAACTGCAGTGCTACTCTTGTTTCCCGAGGGGCAAGGCCATTCAGGTTGCCCCTGGCATCAGATCTCAAATGAATGTAAGGTTTTCTATTAATATTCCTTTCAGCTTGCTGTGACAGATTGTACAGATCATTTCACTGCTTTGATCAATACATGAGATCATTTTCCAGCCTCCCTTTGTTAATACAGATTAATAATCCCTTCAAAGTATTAAGGCTCAGTTTAGTAGCTCCCTTCCCTTTTAGTCTAATCGAGTGCTCTCACATTTTGGACCTCGAATCCCATGGGAATGAAAGTTACCAGGTTCATCAATGATAAAGCAACGCCATCCACTACGAATGCTTTAATTTTGGAGCTTGGAAATTTCTCTTTTGGACTGGTTGAATGGGCAGAGATTCCATGGACAAACTACTTCAATCACATGATGTCTATATTTCAATAATATTCACAAGGGACCTGATATTAACGGTGGCCTTGTTGATTGTTAAGCATACGGTCTGCTTATTATAATTTCGCCCATGCATTCAATATGCTGGAACTGGAAGTGGAAACAAATAAAGTCTGCACTCTTCAGTATCTAGGTTATCTACCCAGATTTTGATTGGCAACGCAAGTGATTTTTTACTTTCCACCATCATTGGTTGGCGGATTTTTTGCCGTAAAAGTTACGTTTATGCGTTCTTCATTCATCCTTTTATTCATCAAGCACGTTTTAGAAAAATAACCCTTTTCCTATCATGCCCCTATCCATGAAAAGACCTTAAATAAGGAGCTGAGGTGGCTGAATTAACAAGCTTATTTGTTTGTCTTTTTTAGGGAATAATAAAATTTTGAGGTTGTGGGCTCCTTAATAGCTGAATCTGAATTTGGATGGATCACTGTACACTTTAAAGTTCTATTTATTTAATTATTTTATCAATTAGAAGATAAAGCAAACTAAAGTGTAATCGACCTGATTTGATTTGATAAATGTGTTAATTGATTGAATCATTTAAGTATTGGGAAAAAAGAATTAAAACATATCGACTTAAACATACCTTGAGCTTCTCAAAAGGACTTAAAAATATCTTCTAGATTCATCCATTAGACTTTAGTATGCCCTCTATCAATGAAACCTTGTATGTAAATTCATTTAAATCTTATTTTGCCCTTCAGGCTGCATTTGGAAATGATGCAAATGTAGTGTAAATCCCGATTCAAGGTAAATTTGCACTGTAGCTCATTTTTGCCTGTGTGACAACATTACATTGTTGCATTGACAAATGACAGGCCAATGCATATTGACATTGATAATAAGATGTAAAAGTATATCAATAAAAAGAAGTAAATTTGCATTCAAGTGGGCTTTCGATAAAAAAAAACATATGCTTTATTGGAATTCATGTTTGTATCCATTATAGATAGAAGTTTGTTTGATAAGAAGGTAAATTTCTCAATGCAAAACTAACTTAATTTTGCAATTTATATGAACTGTTTTATACTCTACATATTTGCATTCACACCTATTTGCATGGTTACTAAATGCAGTCTTAGGCTAAGTTTTAAAAAAGTACAAATACAAATATGTATAATGCAAATGCATATAAAATAATACAAAATAAATCTACATATTTGCATTTGTACTCCTTCCAAACAGAGCCGTACTAATGCAAATATGTATAGTGCAAATACATATAAATGTTAGGCAGTGTATGCCCTTAGCTCCAATCAGAATGATGTACATTATGACATTTAATGTAAATGAATAAAGCACATATTTGATTCATGTTATTATTGTGTTTCTGTGTAATACCCTTAAATTGGACACATATGAGACTTGTGTTATTTTAGAATCTTCACAGCCGTTGGATAGATCTGAGAGATTTATCCTGCCAAGGCTGACCCTGAACCGAACCAGAATTCCAGTATTGCTTTGGACCTTGGAGATAGATGGGTAAAACTGGAATGTTACACCTAACCCTTAAATTCGATTATGATACTGCATTAGGTATCGGATTGAACTGTCTTTGATATGTCAATCAGTGAGATCGTTAGAGGGAGTCAAAACCTAGGTATGTTGGGACAGTTTGAGAATTCATCTGAGTGGGTGATCATAGTGATAGGATCAGCCCTTTTGTCGGACAAAGTGAATGATCAGGGATGCACTCTCTGATGGAAACCAAAGTTGTTGGCAGCCGGTTTCATCCGTTGAAATTTGTTTTGCAAAATATATTTATATAGAAATATACATATATATATATATATATATATTATGTATATATATATATATATATTATGGTTTCATGTTTGTAAAATGTTTTAATTCCCATGATCCATGTAAGTAGAGAGTGCAGCACTGTACTTTGCAGCTGAGGGAGAAGTTCTCTCTTGTTGGGCAACGTTTGATTATTATGGGTTGAGAGGTTAAGCGTAAAACCATTGAGGGTAATACCTAATGGACTAATCTTGCATCTGCCCATAGTCCTTGGGTTTTTATAAGGTGCTTTGACTTAATGACCATTTATTATAAATGTTGCGCCCATTAAGAGCCCATGGTGATGGATTCAGGGGTTCACTGTCTCCTACAATGAATTCGGCCAGGCCTTCTAATAGAGGTTGTGCTGAACCCATGTGGTTGATGTGTAGATCAATGTTTGGGTCCCACGCCATACAAGGATATCTGACTAAGCAACAGTTTGGAGGATAATTGAGCACATGGACTTAATAGGKCTAAAGCCCAATTCAAACTGACTTACTTAGATTAATTAAAGAGGGGTGGTTCTGGGATTTAGATCAGCAGATAGGATAAGAGATTGTCCTTATCCACTCAGAGAGTCCAGATCCAAATAAAGATTTGGATCAGGAAACTCCTAATTAGATTAGGAGGGCTGATATTTATTTACAGATAAGATAAAAGATTATCCTTATCTCTTAAAGAGAGTTCAGATCCAAATACAAGATTTGGATTAGGAAACTCTTAATGGGATTAGGAGAACCTCTCTTTAAGGCTATAAATAGAGGAGAAGAGGGAACCCATATTATCCTTCAGTCTTATTGATTCAAGAGAGAAAACATACAGTTGGACTGACGCCATCTTCTGCTCTTGCCTTCTCCTACTATTGCCGCCATTAGCAGTTCGATCTCCACCTATAAGAGTGATCAAGAAAGGGTTATTGATATCACGTTTTGGCAGAAAAGGTGATTTGAGGTCGTGCTCACTCGCCCTCCATCATATTCTTGGTGAAGAATCAGGTTCTTACTGAAGAGACATTCTGATGATTTTGCTCTACCCTATGCTATGTCATCTTCAGTGCGAGTAGTCTTTGGTATTCTCCTTGGGCGTGAACACCTTCGTTGGGGGTACTTAATACTCCCTATCAGGTATACCCCTCTCATACCTTTTGGTTTCAGATCTGATTCAGTTTGGGTTCAAGATTGATCATTGAAAATGCAGTTTTCTAAAATAGGGAATGTGATTCCCACATGGGAGAGAGAAATTTTTGAAATTTCGCCCAATCTATCTCTAGGGTTCGGCCATCCATATGATGGATCTCTCATCCCTTCAGTGGTATTAGAGTCAGGTTCAAATCTTGAACCGAAATTGGCCAGATCTGAAACTGCGCAAATGGGCAGAAGGTGTTTTACCCGATTTGCGCTGATTGTTGATTTTCTGGGAAATCGGTTCCCAGATTAAGGGCGATTGATCTAAAATTAAATATTTTTAAATCTAATTTATATTTAAAATTGTTCTTTATATTTATCTTGATTTATGGGTTGTTCGTACGGTGGAGGTCGAAGTCTTGATTGGCGCAAGAAAATTGCGCACCTGCTATTCTATTCGTTCTTGTCTGTAATTATTATTTTTTTTAATTTTTAGACAAAATGTATAGAAATTCTTTTTTATGTAATATTAATAGAAAATTAGGGTTTTCTATTTTATTTCTTTCAAATTCGAAGCAGATCGCATAGAAGAAAGGAGTTTCATAGATTAGGGTTCGACTATCTACGATTTGTAGTTTGAGAAACTACAAACTGTGAACTAACCTCTGTTTTGTAGGGTAGCAGATCTACGAACAACCCTTGTTCTGATTCTTGAAAGTCTTTTATCAGTAATTTAATTTTAGATCAAAATCTTGAATTAAATCTTGAATTAAAAATTAAACCCTAGACCCATTCAAACTAGATTGAACCAAACTGGTTGGACCGAATCTGTGGTTTGATGGAGCTGTTCTCAACCCTAATTTTTCACTCTTGGGTCCAGGAGTTGATGGTTAATTGCAAGATGTAATTCGGCCCACACCTGTAAAACCCAGTTTTAGTGTGTTAAAACTGCTTTAGCCCATTAACTGCATAAAAGCTATATGGGCCAAACTGCTCTTTGCAATTCAACCCATATATCTAGATAATATTAATCAGTAATATTATGGATAATTATGGGCTTTAATTATGGGTTTTCCAGATATTAATTGATTGGATCAATTTTGTTCCTGCATGTGATGTATGGATGTGTGATGTGCAACGTTCATGGGCCATAAGTTCTTGGCCTGTACAGAATTGATAGTGGCTCTTGCATACACCATGGCTGAATGCACATCATTGCCATGGTGCCCTAAAGATCATTGGATGATCTCCCTTCGTGGTGGGCCCCACACCCCCCAAGAGGAACCGTGCAGAACCCTAGCTTTTTAGGGCCCACCTAAATCTGGCTTTATGAAAGTTAGTGGGAGCCACTTTGGTTTGACCTAAACTAAACTAGGGCGTAATATTTTTGTTCCCTCCGCTGAAATATGAGTGCATGTGATATGGAAATTCATATGATGAACTCTCTAAAGACCTTTTATCATTAGCATGAAGATGAGTCATTCAGTAATGAGGAAACACATCATAAAATTGGGTTATCAATTTGCTGCTGGATTTGTTGAAATGTTTCATAAGATGATAGGGGCGTCATAGACCGATGTGGGAGGGGCCTATCCTAAAATGGAAGACTCTCACAGTACTTTGGCGTTCACGAATATGATGGGTAAGCACTCACTGGACAGAAATATTTAACCTAAAATGGCAATGAACCTTGTTTGACAGAGGCCAAAGGGAAAGCTCATAAGATGAGTGGATATGATCATTCACAGAAAGGCGGTGGGGTTATGTAGCTGAAACAGTTGGCTCCATCCACCCTATGTGATTTCCCACATTTTCTGAGACATAATTCGCAATCTCCGTCACTGAGATAGGAGGGAAATCTTAGAGATGAAC